GTGAGGGGTTGTCTAGATCAGGTCAGCCTCTGGACACACCTGTGAGGGGTTGTCTAGATCAGGTCAGCCTCTGGGCACATCTGTGAGGGGTTGTCTAGATCAGGTCAGCCTCTGGGCACGTCTATGAGGGGTTGTCTAGATCAGGTCAGCCTCTAGGCACCCCTGTGAGGGACTGTCTAGATCAGGTCAGCCTCTGGGCACATCTATGAGGGGTTGTCTAGATCAGGTCAGCTTCTGGGCACACCTGTAAAGGATTGTCTAGATCAGGTCAGCCTCTCAGCATGTCTTTGAGGGATAGTATAGATTAGGTTATCTTCTAGACCATCCTGTGAGAGGTTATCTAAATTAACCTCTAGGCATGCCTGTGAGAGATCTTTTATGAGTTCCTTGAAGGCAAAGTTCATACGAAGTTCACTGTCAATGCCAAGAACAATACCTGGGATGCAGTACTCACAAAGCAAATATTTGCTGAAAGATTAGACGGACAGGTGGAGGAAAATACCAACACATTTATCTAAAGTAGGTAATTAAATCCTGAGAAATGGCTGATGCTTTAATGGAAGGGAGAGGCAAGAGGCTTTTATGAGTTCTCTTGGTGATTGGGAAACCAATTTTGTATATGTGGATGCCAAATGTGGGAGGTGTTGACACACGTACATATGCAAAAAGATAAGTGTGTTCAGACCAAACTTTAACTCAAAACTTCCAGTTGGAGTGTGTTACCACTGTAAAGAAGTTATTTTCTAATATTTTGTTATTTCTATTTTATGTGTATGAGTGTATGGCCTGCATGTGTGTAAATGCACCTGTGTTGCCCAATGCCCACGGAGGTCAGAAGAGGGTGTTGAATTCCCTGGAACTGAGTTAAGGATAGTTATTGGCTAGTATGTGGATACTGGGAATCAAGCCTGGGTCCTCTGCAAGAGCAGCCAGTGCTCTTAACTGCTAATCCATCTGTCCAGCCCCTGCAAAGAAATTCTTGAATGGTGTGTACAATGCAGCAAATACAATAGTCAAAACCTAAAAAATGTGTCACCTGTTTACAAAAGATAGTGAAGGATTTTTACAATATAATGTATAGACCATGTGCTTATAAACTTGAAGTTTGTGAAAAATGTGGATAGAAAGAAAACATTGTGGTTATGTTTAAGAAAGAATCAGAGATGACAGAAAATGTTGAAAACAAAGTTCCAACAGGATAAAAAGCTGAACAGTAATGAAGGCAGTGATGACAATTTAGAACCTGGTATTGACTTAGATGGTGTAGATGATGACACTGAAGTGGGCAAACACTACTGTCAAAAGTCATGTGGGAAAATGTGAAATATTGAAATATGTTTGCCTTCTACGGCTCACCAAAAACTGTGAAATCCTAATGAGGATGTCAGAAAAAGTTATTAAAAACAGGCATATTTGTTATACAAGCAATAAATATTAAGTATAACATTGGAATGATTTTGAAACTTTCAGGTTTTCATAATGAAATTTAAGTTCCACATAGCAGACTATCTGTTGACATGTGTACTGTGGCATCATATTGTATAATTTAAGGGAACTATTTAGAAAAACATCTAATGTACAACAAAAGAAGATTCAGAATTGACTATTGCATCAGAACTATCTCATGGAAAAAGAGCTGGCATTTTTCCACAATAAGTATGTTTTCACAGACTGACTTCAAGCACATGGCTTACCTAGAGGAAACCCCCATACATACAGCTTGTTGCAAAGCAGACTTTTTAAAAAATCAAGTTTAGCAAGTGTATAGTCATTTTTCTTCAAAAATGTTTTCATATATTTCATTGCATTGTTTTTACCCTTTTCCACTTGTGAGCTATACATTCAGAAAAAAGTAGGGAATATATATATTATATATATACATATATCATATTATAAGGAATAAAGGAAAATGCATACACTCTCACTGGAGGGAAGATTCCACCAATATCAGAAACTACTTAGAGGTTTTCTCTCCTCAAAGCTCCTCCTTCCCAGAACTGGCACTGAACTGAATTTATCATTTTACTTTTGGTGATTCTAGTTCTAAACAACAAAAATTAACTTGGTGTGATTGTTTAAGTTTATTTTGAAAATCTCAAAGCTACAGAAAAGTAGCAAAATCAGATGGTGCCCTTTTTCACACACTCCACCTGTATTCCTGTGGTTAACGTGCCAGGTTTTATGCCACACTACATGTGCCTGCGCATACACGCACACGTATCTGTTGACTCATTTGAAAATGAGTGTGAAGTACTGATTCTGGATGTGTCTTTTGTGTTATTTTGTGTCTCTTCTTCATCAGTATAAAATTCTGGAAACTGTTCCATATTGTTAGAGGAGCCATAATTTGTCAATTTTACACAATTGAGCATTGTCCCAATGCTGACAGGCAATTCTGTTATGCACAATTTTCCTTTTGCACACAGTGCTGGTGTGGCTATTGTTAACTGAGTCTCTTTGTGCCCATGTGCATTTATGTTAGGTGTGTTTGTATCAGTGGTATCTGAAGTGGTATCTTTGTGCCCATGTGCATTTTTACTAGGCATGTTTTATATCAGTGGTATCAGTGGTAGTGATGATCTACACATCTTCAGTTTCACTTGGGTTCCAGAGGTGCTGTTACCTCTCCTCACAGCAATCTGAGTTTCAGTGTTCTACAGCCTTTCTGATGTAACAGAATTTTAAATGTATGCCAATGTGTGTGTGTGCTGTGATAGTGATAGATCTTTGCTAGTATACTTATATTTCTTTATTAACCTGCAAACCTTTTATATATGACTATGTGGTTTTTGATAGTAGATGACACTAAGTTTTGCTAAGTATAATAATGCTATTTTCAAAATACATATGAACATGTCAATTTATTTTAAAATATTTTAGTGTAAAGTAAGTAAAGATACAGACTTTCAATGGCATCAAAATTATGTTACCTGGAAATATATACAAAAATACTTAACTCTATCAACAAAACTTTGAAGTCTTATCAAGACATTAAAGAAATGGAGACAGCTTCTTTACTGTAAACTTGTACAGCTTTCCTTTTTGTATGGATTTTTTTTTGTTTTTTTGAGACAGGGTCTCCCCATAGCCCCAGTTGGCCTGGAACTAGCTATATAGACCAGGCTGACCCCTTGATCTCACAGAGATCCACTTGCCTCTGCCTCCTGAGTGCTGGGATTAAAGGTGTGTGCCACCACGCTTGGTTCTATGAATTAATTTTTTTTCTTGGTCTTTTTGAGACAGGATCTCCTGTAGCCCCAGCTGTCTTGGACTCACTGTGGAGACCAGGCTGGCCTCAAACTCAGAGATCCACCTGCCTCTGCCTCCCGAGTGCTGGGGTTAAAGGTGTGCACCACCATGCCCGGCTGAATTAATTTTTATATATGCATTAATCTTCACTTTTTATATAAAATGTAATTATTTAGCTTTTGTGATTAAAGAGTCTATTAAAAAATTTAAATTAAATAAAAGGACCGGTGAGATAGCTCAGTGTTTGCCACACAGGTATGAGAACCTGAGTTCAACTCCTAGCTCCAATGTAAAAAGTAAGATGTGTGTGTGAGGGTTGTAATCCCAGCACTGGGGAGGTAGAGACAGGTGGATCCTGGAGTTCACTGGCTGGCCAACCTAGCTGAATCTGTCATCCCCTGGTTTAGGTAAAATGATCTCTTTCAAAACCAAGGTTGGCACCTAAGGAATGACACCCAAGTTGACTTTTGGCCTCAACAAACACCCATATACATGTTCATGAGCACATGTACCTGCATACACAAGTATACCTGCACACACATGAACTCACATACACACCCAAAGAACAATGAAAGAAATAAATTGTTCATTGTTTAAAAAATGAAACATTTTAAATATTTTATTTATTTATTATTATTCTTTTATGTGTATGAGTGTTATGTCTGCATGTAGGTAAGTGCACCCGTGTCGTGCAATGTCCACAGAGGACAGAAGAGACTGTCAGATCCCTTGGAACTGGAGTTACGGACAGTTGTTAGCTGCCGTGTGGGTGCTGGGATTTGAACCCGTCTTCTGCAAGAACAGTCAGTGTTCTTAACCTCTGTGCTATCTCTCCAGCCCTGAAACATTTTAAATATAGAAAAATTTAAAAAATAACAACAAAGAAACCAGTCTTAGCAGTGAGCCATGCCATCTGGTAATGTCCCTAACCTAGTTTATATGAGATCTAGGAGGACCTCCTTCTGCAGGGGAAACTCCCAGAGAACTCGAATGCCTTTCTCCATGTCCACCTCTGGTGCCACACTCCCTCCTACACCACCCAGGCACCCATTCCAAACTGCGACTTGGGGGAGAAGGAGCAGAATTTTGTACTGCTGAGGACTGGCAGTCTAGGGGACTGTCCAGCAAGAGTAGCTCCAAGAGTCTCAGTTTGGAATGGGTGATTGGGTGGGGAGAAGGGAGTGTGCACACCTGGACTCTGCAATCCACCAAAGCAGCTGGCCCCACTAGCACCGCACACTCTTGGGTCCTTTGGGCTCACAGTGGGGGATATTTCAAAGGGCTACGACTAGAAAATTTGGTCTTTGGGACAATCAACTAGCCAGGGAGCCAATACCAAGAAAGAAAAGGGTCTTACAGCTCAAATATAGGGGAGGGCTGGGGAAATGTAGTTCGTAAAGTGCCTGCTACACAAGCATGAAGACCTGAGTTTGAAGCCTCAAGGTCCACATAAAAGTCTGGAACCACAATGCAGGTCTGTAACCCCAGCGCTTGGAGGGGAGGGATAGGATGATACAGTGGTGAACCAGTGTAGCTTAGTGGATAAGCTCCAGGTTCAATGACAGACCCTGTCTCAAAATTAATAATAATAATAATAATAATAATAATAATAATAATAATAATAGCCATCAAGGAAGACACCCACTATAGACCTTTAGCCTCCACATGCATGTGCACCCCATGCACATGCTCATACATCCACACAATATATGAACTGTGTATGTGACCAACAATAGCAGAGAGCTCCTCACCTCGCTCCCACACTGACAACACAGTCACCCGAGGCACAGAGGAGTTATTCCACACTTCATCCCGATGCCAGCCCAGCTCTGGACACTGGGCCCAGCCTGCCGACCCTTGTCCTAAGCTCTCCAGAAGGGCTCCCTGCATCGTTGCTGCTTCTCAGGGACCTCAGCAGGGAACCCCTCACAGTAAGTACCCAGAGGGGAAACACCTCTTTTATTCCTGGTAATCCTGTAATCTGCTCCAAGATAGGCAAGTAAGGAAGATTCTGGAACACCCCACCTTGCCATCCCACACTGACCTGCCCCTTCGTCAAACCCACAGGAATCCTGAATCCTGCGTAGGACTCTTGGAGAGGCTGTCTGTGATAGCGACCTTTGAGGAGGGCTAGGGTCAGCCAGTCCTGGAACTCTGGGGTGCAGGGGCGGGGGGGTGCACACCTGTGGGGAGACCAGACCGTGGACTGGGGACAATAGGGCCTTAGGGAATGTAAAACCACAGTCCAGTTGGGGGCGGCTGGATGAAGGAAAGAGAGAGGAGAGAGGGAGGGGAGAGAGAGGAGAGAGGGAGGGGAGAAAGGTGAGAGGGAGGGGAGAGAGGAGAGAGAGACTCTGGGGTGCAGGGGCGGGGGGGTGCACACCTGTGGGGAGACCAGACCGTGGACTGGGGACAATAGGGCCTTAGGGAATGTAAAACCACAGTCCAGTTGGGGGCGGCTGGATGAAGGAAAGAGAGAGGAGAGAGGGAGGGGAGAGAGAGGAGAGAGGGAGGGGAGAAAGGTGAGAGGGAGGGGAGAGAGGAGAGAGAGGGAGGAATAGAAAGAGAGAGGAGAAGGGAGGGCAGAGAGGAGAAACAAGAACAAAGCGAGCTAGTGGAGCAAGACTGGGCGACGGCGCAGCGCTGGGCCCCGCGTCCCCAGTTCCAGGGCCCCGGAGGCCGGCGTCCTCCCAGCCCCGCCCGAGCAGCGGAGCCCGGCGGGCGGCAGTGCGCGCGGGTACCCGGCTGCCCGCCCTCGCGGAGGCGAGGAGCCGGGAGCTGGCCGTGGTGCTGACGCGCGGCTCCGGGCGCGCACTCGGCTAGTTCTGTCGCGGCCGCGCCCTGCGGCACTCCCGAGCCTCAGCGGTAAGTGGTCGACGCCCTGAGAGGCTGCGGGGGTCCCAGCCCCACGGATCCTCTTCGGGGGCTGGAGGAGGGCTGGGGAATGTTTGCGTTCTCTTTGCGATCGGCAGTCAAGCGTAGGGCACCTCCTTCACTCAGGATGTGTGGGGCCTGGAGTCGGTGGTGACTGGTTTAGGTTTGGGTTAGGGAATGGGAAGAAACCCGTCACGGCGGACGCGGGGCCTGGGGAAAAGCCAGTAAGGTTATGGTGGCCCGTCTGTCCACGCAGGAGGAGGTGGACCAGGACCTCCACTTGCCAGAGGGCCCTTTGTCTCCCCAGCGTGAGAGTGGGTAGCTCTCACCGCAGATTCTATTTCTGCTTTATTCCCCACCCTACCCCCTCTACAGAGCTTTTCCATCCACGGTGGTCCTCAGCACACCAGCAACAAGGCATATTGCTAGAGAGATAAGCCAGTGCCCTCAGCCTCCACTACCCCATCCAAACTCTAAGTAGTCCTTGGTCAAGGCACCCCACCTCCTGCTGCCCTTCCTTACACTCTCCACCCCTTCATAGTTCACTGCTTGTTACTATTTGCCTGGATATTTGGGGCCCTGCAGGGTTTGAAAGGCAAGGCATACCAAAACTGCTAGCTGTATGGTCACTAGGGTGTTGTTGTTGTTGTTGTTGTTGTTGTTGTTATTATTATTATTATTTATTTTCCTCCATAAAATAATTCTCATGCTAAGCAGGAAAGAAAGACCCACTGTTACCTTTACAAGGGGAAAAGAAAATCCTAGACAGCTAAGCTGAAGTCACCATGCAGAAAAAGAAATTCGTGGGGTGGGATAACTTCATGGAACGTTCAATTTGCAGTAAATTCTTGTCCATGTCTGTTGGGTGTCAGAAATAGGCAGAGGCACCTCTGTTATCACCTTTCTGTTAGCCTCTGGTGCGGCACCTAACCCACCTCCTGGACCCCTCTCTTGTCTCGATTCCCTGTTTTCACTTGTAGCTCCTCATAGCTCACAGGATGAAGGTCAAGGCCCTTCCTGAGACCTTGGGCCAAATGTGGTCTGCCTGGCTAGTCTCCTGGCTAGGCCCCATTGGTTTGCTGCCCTGGTCACTGTGTTCACTTTTAGATACTTAAATATTCTGTTTCACTTGTTCCTTGGGGCCTTTCACAGGGTGTGTATGTGTGTGTGTGTGTGTGTGTGTGTGTGTGTGTGTGTGTGCTACCTAGACTGTGTTTCCTTTATCTTTTCACTGAATGTCTTCTGCTGTCTTTTAGATTTTCATTTAAGTATCACATCCCTGAAATAGAACTGATTAAATACACCACTTGGGTTCTGAATGAGAGACTTAACCCAGGGCCTTGGTGTTGCTGGGACCCATCTTAGAGAACTATTGAGATAAACTGTTTGTAGAATTAAAATTTCTAAAATCACCTCAACAAATAGACTGACTTAATTTTTTAAGAGTAGGTCTGAACTTAGAGGACACTAGTCCCCCTAGCTATCTATTGGAACCATCTGTCTCCCAGAACTGCTGATGGATCTCTCTTGTCCCTTCAACCTGTGCAGAGAGAACTGTCTATGTCCTCACCCTGTGCCCATGGAGCTGTATCTGGAACCCTGTTTCAACCCATCTATCCCCTGTCAGACCACACCCATAATTTATTCAAAATAGTTTCTTCAGCTTCATTGGGGAAGTACAAATTCAAGTTGGGTGCCACCTTTAATCCTCACAGATTATCTGGTCTTTTCATCCCTAGCTCACATTCGCCCAAGGTCATGCATCCTTCCCAACCTCCTCTGTGTCTAACGGAGATGAGTGGGTTTGTTATGTTAAATATCAAGCATACCCACCTTAATTCATTATCTTTTGGGCTACCAAACTGAGGTTGCCAAGGAAATGCCTTGGTCGTCAGACCCAAGAGCCCATGGTTTAGCTGGGGTTAATTAAAAGTCATCTGTCCAGACTATGTCCATTAATAAAAATAATTCCTACATCCAGCATCCTATTTAGGCAACTTAGGAGAAAACATATGGTCAAGGTGTTTCAAACACATAAAATACTTCATTTAAATAAGTAATATCATGTTTAACTGTCTACTGGAGTTGAAGACCTGGGTCTCAAAGAATTTTCAATCTCAGAGGTTAGGGATAAGGCTCAGCCTGTGAAGAACTTGCTATGGGGGCCAGTGAGATGGCTCAGTGTGTAAAGATGCTTGTCACCAAGCCTGATGACCTGTGTTGGATCCCTGCGACCTACATGGTAGAAGGAGAATTCCAACTGCTACAGGTTGTCCTCTGACCTTATATGTGCACCATGGTATTTGAGTGCACACATACATGCACACCTGCACACACGTGCATAGACACAAATAATAAAATGTGCTAATTAAAATCAAAGAACTTGTGCCAGTATTAGGACCCAAATTTAATCTCTAGCACCCACCCACATAAAAAGCTAGGCCTGGTGATGTATACTTGGAATCTCAATGCTGAGAAGGCAGTGGCAGGTGGATCCCTGGGCTCACTGGCCAGTCAGCCTAGCTAACTTGATAAGCTCCAGGTCCTAGTGAGAGACTGTTTCAAAAGCAAAGTGGATGGCTCCTTAGGAATGATACCTGAGATTGACTCTGGGTCTCCACACCCACAGAGCATCCCTCAGATTCCCAGACTTCCACCAGAGAGAGAGAGAGAGAGAGAGAGAGAGAATTATACAAGTATCTACTATAGTTCAAGTCCCAGGCCTTAAAGAATTTTCAATTTTGTTCTATTAGAAACAATGCCAATATCAAGCAGTATAATGAAAAACATGGTGGCTGAGCACTGCAGACCATAAGGGAAGAACAACCTGGAGAGAGATGGGAGATGCAACATGTGGTAGGGGAGGACCAGTCATGAGTTTCCACTGACAGGCTGTCAGCCATAGGGTTACAAAACAGAGTGTGCATTTTTCCAGCTGAGAACCAGGCTATATTTGGCCTCTGCCCTTAGGCAGTGGCAGTGTAGCATCTGGCTATCCACATAAATCCCACTCTGCCTCTGAAAACTGTGTGGAAGGTGACTGTTCAGTCTGCCTTCAGTCAGGCAGCAGCCCTTTCACCCATGCAGGGACTTTTTCATCCACATAACATACAGGATACACGTTTCCAAAGAGACAGGCTGGGTAAAGTATTTTAATATGGAAACTGATTGCAGTGACAGACTAGAGTCCAACTGACTGCCCAGTGTTGATGTCTCTAGTGGAGTGTACTGAACCTAATTCTCCAGAATACTGAATGTGCAGAATGCTAATAAAACTCAGAGTAGGGTTAGCAGCTTAGCAACATGGAATCTAATCATTTGTACACAATAATGGAAGCTATTTAAAAATCACCTTCCAAGCTCAGAGAGAAATGAACTATGCACCTTTTCATGACTTTACCTCAGTTCTGAGAACTGGAAAACTAGCTCTTTTACTAGAGATCTCTGTGTGAACAGTTTGTTTCAGGGGCAAAATTGTACATATAGTGAAATAATCATTATAGCTCGATGAAGCCATTTCCAAGGATATAGTAACTAATATATGCTTCCAAACATTGAAAGGGATAAGAAGATAGAGATCTCATAACAAATATCTCTCAAATTTCCTCCTGTTAAAATTACATTGTCTTTGATTTACATTTTTCTGAGCTTGGCTAGGCTACCTTGTAGCCTGAAATCTTCGCCTTCATTGTGTTTCCAAAATTCCTCATGAGAAAACATTTATTAATCTACTTTTATGTTTCTCATGAAAGACAGTCTGAGCCAGACATAGTGGTATACAACCTGAAACCCCAGCACTCCAGAGGCTGAGGGAGTAGCATGACAAATTCAAGACCAGCCTGGGCTACTAAGTGATGAGGGGGTGGGGTAGAGGGAGGGAGAGATCTTGAGCTCTTGGCTGTCAGGTTCAAGTCCCAACCCTTTCACTTACCATCTATGTGACCTGGACCAATTTAATGGCTTTTCTAAGGCTGAATTTATTTTTTAAGATTTATTTTATTTTTAATTACGTGTATGTGTGTGTCTATGTACATGTGAGTGTGGTTGCCTGCAGACTTCAGAAGAGGGGGGGTCAGGTTATCTGGAGCTGGAGTTACAGGGGGTTGTGAGCCACCTGACATGGGTGCTGGGAACTGAATTCTGGTCCTCTGGAAGAGCAGCAAGCACTCTTAACTGCTGAGCCATCTCTCTAGTCCCTGAATTTATTCTTTGTAAAATGAGGATTACAGTAGTTTGTCTCTGATAAGCTTACAGACCAAGCTTCCTGCCTGGTCAGGTGGGTGTTACAAGACTCCATTTTGAGTCCCCTGACACCAGACCCTGCATAGTAAGCACTCTGCCGTGTGTATCCAGGCCCAGCAGAACTGTGAAGGAATGTGTTGGGAATGTATTGAGTGGGAATAAAATCTGCAGGTTCGGAGTGAGAAAGGCTTGGGCACATGCCGTCTGCCAGCAAGCAGAAAAGTCACCATGGAGCCTGAGGCACTGTGCCCTGTCGAGGATGCCACTGCCAAGAGTTGGGCTGCAGCTGGAGCCAAGCCTATGTTCTGAGGCTCTCTTGGCAATGGGGGGGGTACTTCTTTTGTCCTTTAGCCAAAAGTTCCAGGTGTCACTCTGAGGGGAGGAAGTGCTGCCCACAGGTGGGAGCAGGTGGCAGGAGCTCCATGAGTCCGTGCAATGTTTTGGCAGCAGAGCTGAGGCAGGCCCTCTGCCTACATAGGTCTCTATTCAAGATCACTTCAGGGACTCTGTCATCCTGAGTTATGGTTCAATATCTGGAGGCATCTGTGAGGCATCTCTGGGGGCAGCTGTGAGGTATCTTTGGGGGCAACTGCCAGGCATCTTTGCGGGGCAGGTCTACAAAACTGTGTAACCACTGGCTTTGTACCTGCTGCAGTCCCCCTTACAGGCTGGGGCTGGGATAAGAAAAGGCAGGGGATGCCCACAGAGCTGTCCCAGAGAGTCAAAGAAAATGGCTTCATTATTTCTCTTCCAGCCTTTCCTAGCCAGAGTCACACAGGCTGACCTTCAGGCCATTCACTGCCAAGGAAAAGGAATGGGGCAGGCACACAGCATTTCTATTGGGCATGAGATTAGAACTCAGAAGGTTCTCCATCATGCTTTCTGGCTTTTACCTGTTTTGCTAGGGTCCTCTGTCTCTCCAAATTTACTCCAAGGACCACATGTTTAAAACCGGACTCCTCCCTTAAACCAGCTCCTGGTATAGGCCCCTAGGTCCTCAGTGTCAGGACTCTCTTCCTGCCTTTCTTTCTTCTTGTGGTTGCTGAAATCCTGGTTTCTTTCTTTGGCTGACCCTATAACTTTACCTCCAGAGTTGCATTCACCATACTCCATCCTCAGCCCCTTTGGTCTGTCTCTTGCCAGTCCCCTCTCATTGATTCTGTGAGGCCAGCTTCCAGCCCCCTTAATGTTCCTGCTCGTGAGAAGACCTAGGTGATATTTCAGTGAACCCTTATTTGAGGGCCCTGTACAGACAGATCCTGCCTTCCCCAGCAGATAGATACCTGGTCCTCCCATGGGTGGCCAGCTGCCTCGGGCCTAGGAGGCAGCCTACTTAACTGAGTCCAATGTACTCAGTTAACTCAGAAATGTACTCAATGCACTCAGAAAGGCTCAGACATGTCCTTCTTGAAGAGGTGGAGAGGATGATATTGTGTGGCTTTTCTTGGGGAGATTTGAACAAACATCTCTTCACCCCAGTTAGGGCACTAGAGACAGACCAAAGAAAGCATTCCATCAAAGTCTATTTTAGTGAATCAATGAGTCCATTGGGGTTGTTATAGGAGTATAGGTAAGGAATACTTTCAGGAGCCCCTCCAAAGCATCTACGTCATCGCAGCATGGGTGATGATTCATGAAAGCTACATTCCTGGAACTCCCTGAACAACTTGTAGACATCTCAGCTGGTCAGAGAATGTCTCCACAGCAATTGAATTGTTGCTGCTTATATAATCCTGGGGAAGGTCCTTGTGAATTCTGTTAAGTTTTGGGAATGTTGTGAGGTTCTTTTTTTTTTTTTTTTCCTTTTTTTTTTTTTTAAATTCCTGGGGCTTAAAAAGACCCCCCCCAAAAAAAGGTTTCAAATGGGAGAAAAGGGCCAAACACAAAACAGGGTTCATGCTAAATTTCAAAACCTGAAACA